TACAATTACATACACCACTCCTTAACTCAGTCCCACAAATAGTCCTTACTAAAATTAGTATTAGCATGCATACAAAATTAAGACTGTCCTCAGTCAAACCAAGAACAGAACTGGAGAGACACTTCAGCCTTCAGTGTGACACTGATTTCTGTGTTTCTGCTGCTTTCCAACAGAACTTTAATAGTTGTGTATGCTGAAACTGTCCAAGAGAAATCAGGAGTTGCATTACCTCAAAGTAACCTGAAGAGGTTACTTAGTCTTAAGAGAAACTTTCCCTAGATTTAGTTTTAAGAGTCAGTATTATTTTCCCTCTGGAATTTCCCAGACAGTAAAAACACTCGCCACCCAAAAGGCCAAGTGAAAATTAAGCAAATTTCTCCTTTAGATATGAAAAAGTTTAAGACACAAAAATGGATTCAATCAACTCCAATCCATATGATTGCACTTCTAACGCAAAGTTTGTGGAACAGAAACATGTCTTTGAAGGAATTTAGATTTCAGATCTTCCCTCTTTCAAGAGGCTTGTATTAGTGCTGGGGGTGAGGGGGCATTTCATTCTTTATGAATATATATATAAAAACATCAATGGAGTTAAAAAAAAAGGTAGAAATCTCCTTAAAATAAATCTCCTTAAAACAAATCACAGATCTGTTTATACAAATGGAGAAACTGAGTCACGAAGGCAAACTGACTCATTAAAACTCATACAGGAAAACTCTGGAAGATCTCTAAATTCCCAAGAGGTTCTTAGTGCATAAAATAAACTGTAAAATTTGAAAATGAGTATTTTTGGGGTTATTTTCTTACCCTCCCCCAAACACTTTCTGTATAGTATACAAGGTTATTTTCCTCAAATTGTCAATCAGATGTCTACTTGAGAACGTGACAGAAGCCGTGAAGAGCTGCAGACTGTACAGCATCAAGAACAGGAGCTTTCAACTGAAGACGAGGAAAGAAAAAGGCAAAAGGTTTCCATAAAGGCCCGTATACTCTTTGTCTTTTTCATGTACTTTTAAATAGAGAGAATAAGACACGGCTTAGAAGAAAAAATTGTATTTATATAAATACAAAGATGATGGAAGCATGCATTACTGGAGAATTAATGAGATCACTCAGCCTTTGGCCTCAAAACACACTAAAGGCATGCATTAACAATACCCTAAAAGTCTACCTTACTGGTCAACTTCAAGTATACCTTAAATCCTACACCAGTGCTTCTAAATGGTATCCAAATTAAAATTCATCAGAGACTGAAGACAGCTTTGCCACTTCAATACCTCACTTTTGATTTCTTAAATCCAGAAGGTTCTAAAGCTATACTGGCATAGAAATTCATATCTCATTAATGTAATGAACAAGATTAAAGACAGGCATTAAAGAAAAGGTGAAAATTTATTTTTGGTTATTGTTGCTTAAAACATAAAATTTGCAGCTGCTATAGTATGTATCACAGTACACTACACCAACTACCGAATAATGAATCCTTGTGACCTCCCTTCCCCCCACTCAAACATATTTATAGTGGTGATACTAAATGGTTCATATTTCATTCAGGAAAAAAATTAGACGTTACGAATTGCACCTTCCCTCAATACTTGTATGTGCATTATCACATATACAATTTATATAGCAATATACGAAATAAATTGAAAAAATGTAACGCCAAAATTACATGGCAGCAAAAGAAATTCTGTGTCTTTAAATAAAGTAACAGGTCATAATCTCGCGTGCATTACTCCCTTAAATTAATTCTGTATTCTCTAACTATGAATACATGGAATTACTACACCAATGTCCAGTGAAGGTATTTCCTGCAAGATGAACATGACGTTCACAAATGTGTTTCCACAAAGAATTTAGCTGACTGTCTTAACGATCGTAATCCACGAGTCGCGTTGATAAATATTACCGATTTTGTGTCGTTAGTAGGACAGACAGCTGTACGGTATCGATCACAAACGCAGGAGCCTTTCCAATTTACTGAACCGACATACATAATTACCTTACAGCACCATATACACACCCCTCGCAGGAGCTGCTTGAGTCGGCTGCCTCCTTCCACCCCCCTTCTCCCCGACAAGAGTGGTCTCGTTCACTTGCCTTTCACACACATAACCAATAAAATTAATCAGCTGGAACACAGCATTTTTAAATCGCAGTAAAGTCAAGAGCTGTTTTGTACGTTATTTGAAGGGAACAGCCTTTTCATTTTAACATAGTAAGACACTAATATGCTGCAGACAAACGCACTGCATGGGGTGTGGAGGACCCGAGCTGATTAGATTACCACAACATCAGCCTGAGGCCGCCATTTTTAGAATCTCTAAAGGACAAAAGAGGGAAATTAATAAATTTGCTCCACATTTTTTTAAAAGTAACTTCAAAAGTATAGTGATAATAACCAATTAATCATGCATTGCAAGTACTGCCATGGATATCTCCCGGTGTTCTCTGATCCGAACCCTGAGTAACAAAAATGCTTCGTTATTATTCCTTTAAGCTACTGTAAATAAACAGACTAAAACATTCGTAAATCTAGATGCAGCAGTGAACTTCTGCTTTTGACGACACGTAGTATGTAGCATTTTAGCGACCTCAGGGCTTTCAGACACCGCACATTCCCTAATAGCCGAGTATGGGGGAATACAGGACCTTTATAATCAGGCTATATTATGTTTCCCGACCCTATTTAGTAGTACACAGTGAACCGTTTGTTTCTCTTCCCCGGTGTCTGCAGCAATACGGTCGAACCCACCAACACTTACCGCTCCAGCAAAGAGAATGAAATATACCACCCAGGGAACACGAACACTGCCTGTAGAAACTAAAGCAAGAAAGGGGTGCACCAGTCTAACTACTTACAGCCTCGAGAAAGGGGGTGGGGAGAATGATCCCCTTTTAAATTGGCACAGAAACTCCTGGGGACAGCTCTCCGTTTGTCCAGGTTACACCACGAAGCGGAGATATTAACAGGGAGGCAGGCAGGGAGGCGGGGGTGTGGAAGGCAAAGAGATTAGGCCTATACCGAGCCATTTTAGTACCACAAAGCAAAAATATACAGGATGGAGGAAAAGAATAGGCTTCCCCAAGCTTCATAAAACTCAATACGCAGTCCCAGTAACGCACAAACCCGTTCTGAAAACCGCCAGCCCGAGGAAGCCTATGTTGTCACATAATAGCTCCTTTTGGCTCATTTTCCAAGCATAATGCATAAATCTGGCGTAACTGCCAAAAAATTCTCCTCAGCTCCTCCAGTTACAGTAACCCGCCATATTCATAAGATATAGCGACAGCCTGCCATTTTTTAACCAAACCCCACAAAAGGAAAAGCAAATTCCAGGCAACTTAAACAGAAATTAAACACATTTCAGGGTAGGAAGGAGTTATACTCGCACCGAAGGTAATGAGACATTCCCGTCGCATTTCACTCCCTTTTTTCCACCCCCCCCTCCCCCAAAGCACCCACAGCAGAATATGCTGGTAATAACCAAAGACTTACCTGTAATGGTCACAGGCCAGGCAACAGGACCCCTCAGCTGAGCCCCTTCTCTATCCCAACCAAAACAATGCAACAGTCCCACTGCGGATATCCCTACCCTAGGCAGGACTCAGCCCTCAGCAGGCTCTAGTAAAAGAAAGGGAAAGAGGAAACCCCCCCCTCCCCCCAAACCTAGCTCAGTGCGCAGAACCCTACAGGGACCAGCTCAAAGGCGCCTTTGCCCTGGGACCTGTGTACAAACCCCGCTGCTGCTGCCGCCGCTGCTGCCGTGCCTCCCTCCCTCCAGCCTCCTACGCTCCCTTCTATGTCACTGCCTCTCTCTGGGAAAATGGCGTCCGCTCTCCCCTCCCTCCCCCAGCACGGGGCTCACCCGCCCCGCCTGACAGGGGCAGGGTTACCAAGGCGAAGCCAAACAGCCGCCATTTTGCTTACGGGCCGGGCGTGCAGCCCGCGCCCGCCGAGCCCTCAGAGTCCATTTTGCAACACGCAGAACGGCTCCGGGGTCTGGGCGCGGTCGCGGCACCAGACTGCGGCAGGGGCCGGGCAGGGGGGCCGTGAGGAGGGAAGTAGGGCAGCGGAGGAGGGGCGGCGGCAGCGGGGGCTGGCGCCGGGGGCGATCCGCAGCCCCGGCGGCGCAGCCCGCGCGGGAGGGGCGGGGGCTCCGTCCCGGCCTGTTGTGGGGCCGAGCGCGGGCGGGAGCGAGGGTGTCTGAGTCAGAGCTGCATCCTCGGAGGAATAAACGCCAAAACTCCCTCCTCGGCCGCTCTCACACCCCCAGCCTCCGGCTTCTTCCTCACGACCGTCGATGCTGTCAGCATACGTGTTCTTTATGAATCTTTAACAGCACATTTTCGGCCTAAACTGCGCGAAAAGCCGGGCAGACCTGCCGGATCTCACACACGCAGAAGAACTACCTGAGGGGAGGGGAAGAGGGGAGCGAGAAAGGAGCGGGAATTTTTGCAGACGTGCTCAGGAGGTTTTGACTGAAACTTTCAGTAAGACACTCGAGGCTGAGACTCTTCCCCGAAGCGTTTAGGACTCAAAGGCAAGTGGGAGAAAGCTTCTTTCCGTAGAGGGAGTGCAAGAGCACTCGCTGAAGGCATTTCTGTTCTGCAGGGAATGAGACAAGCAGCGAACAAGCCTCGTTTGCCCGTTAGAGAACGGCGCTCGGGGAGTAGGAATGGCGCGCTTCCATCCAGACCAGCGGGCGCTGCCAGTGCCAGGAGCTCGCTCAGCCTTTCTGGGCAGACACAGCTCCCGCCATTCGTAAGCAGCCCGTCTTGCTAACCACCATATCTCCTCCCAGCTCCCGCTGTACCCCTACGCCGCCCTGCCTCCCCTGCCCGGCTTCAGCCCCTCCAGCGATACGGCTGATGGAGGGAGGGGAGGCGGCGGCTGGGGTTTCGTTCGACGCCCACCAGGGGCTGAGCGAGCCTTCTTCAGTGCGCAAACTCGGGGCACCAGATAAAAGCTGGGCTGGCAGCTCTTACCCTGCCTCGATGGAGCCGCCACTTTCGGGTGACTGGAGAAGCAGTTAGCAGCAGCGCCATAGACTAGCGTCCCCCCACACCTTGGGCACAGAGAGTTTGGGGCTCTAAACAGCTGCTGCTGCGGCAGGAGGGAGCCGAGGTGAAGGGATCTGCTAGCTGGTTGGACGCAGAGGAGGCGGCTGTAATGGGGCATTAAGTCTGAGGGAGGAGGGGGGGCGATTAAACCTCTTGTGATCATGGCGGAGTCTATGGGTATTTTTTTTTTCCTGTCTAACTCTTCTGTGCGTGTGTCTCTTGTTTCTTTCTCTCTCTCTCCTTAGGGCGCTTGGCTGGGGCTGCTCGCTCGGGTTCTGCCTGTTGTTGCGCGAAATGGCGGCTGGCGTCTTGGTGGGTTTGGTTGTCGGTTTTTTGTGTAGGGTTTTTTTTTTTTTCCCTTCCCCTCCTATTCCCCTCCCCGCACTTGTGCCTTGTCTGCGGCTCCGCAGCGAACCGCGGCGGAGCCCGAGTCAGGAGGGGGGCGGGAGCGGCGCGGCAGCCAATGGCCGGGCCGGCCCGTGTGGCCCGGCGCGCCCTGATTGGCTGGCGCTGACATCATCCTGCAGCAGGGGCAGCCGCAGCTGGGCAGGGTCGGGAGCTGCCGGGGGAGGCAAAAGGAGAAAACGGGCGCCATGATCTCAGTGCTAGGGAAGACTCCGCGGGCAGGGCGTCCCCGAAGAGCTGGCGAAAAGAAAAGCAGGACCAGGCCTGGTTTTCTCCTTCCCGAATAGTGCCGGGGCTGTGCTGAGAGGAGCGGGAAACGAGCGAGAGGGAAGCAACTCATGCCTGCCTTTGTAACTGCGTCAGTACAAGATGGCGCAGGGTGTCCCTGGAGAGGGAAGGGAGTTGCACGTCCGCCGGAGGTCATGTGACCGCGTTGCATTCCTGTGGGGTTTGGCTGCGGACCAAGCTGGCTTAGGCGGCGGCGGCGGCTGCCCGGGAGAGCCCGGGCTTCCCTCCCCCTCCTCCTGCACAACGTCGTCGGTCCCGCGCTGGTTCCCTTCCCCCATCAGCCTTATGCACGAGGAAGGTTCTCGCTTCTCTCTTTACTCTCCACCCACCTCCAGGGTGTAGCTCCTCTTGGGGGAAGCTTTCCATTCCGCCCCCTCTCTGCGCAAGGCTTTACCCAGCGCCAGGGAAAGTTCCCCCGGGTGCCTGCTGGCTCCGCCCGAGCGTGGGAGCCGGGTGCGCTCACGGCAGGGCCGCCCGCTCGGTGCGAAGGCGCTCTGCTCGAAGTTAAGTCGCAGGGGGTTATGGAGTGGTTCTTACTGGAACGGGCGTTTTAAGTGATGTCTAAATGACCTCATTAAAGCCGCTGAGGAAAACGTACAGGCCATGCGGAGTTGTTCTTCTGACGAGGAGGTCTTGGCTGGTCTAGTGGTGCTCTGCCGGGGATGCGGGTGGGGGGCCAAGGGAAAATCTCTCAGGTGTTTATGAGTTTATTCTGTTTGAGTAGGAAAAGTGGATTGCTGTTCTTTGTGTGCTGTTGAATCCTATTGCAGAAGTTGAGCAGCTTTGTGTGGAGCGATAGGTGTATTCCAAAGTCAGGCCGCAGATGGCTTGCGTCTTTAACACGGGAATTGATGCATATACTTGGTGCAAATTAAAAATACGGTTTAAAAATATTGTGAGGACTCCCCATGTTTTACTTTGAGGTCCATAGGCAAATGAACTTGTTACGTAGGCCTGAAAGGTTGGCAAATAAATTTTCCAGGTATTTCTAAAAAAATTTCAATATTTGCTGGATGGGAAGTGAAAAATGTGTTTTCCAATCCTAACTCTTTTCTTTAAGGAATGCAACTCCTATTACTGTTTAGTTGAGCTTCTCATATTTTCAAAACAATTCAGTGCTAGTTCCCATGGCTTGTGCTTGTATGCTACAGTGTAAATTTAGCCATGGCATCTAACCCAATGAACAAATTAACAGTTAAAAGTTGTTGATCATTTAAGGGTGTTGGTTTGTTCCGTTTGGAAATGTTTCCCGTGTTCTATTTGTAGTCCTGGATAGATAGGATTTTTTTTCTTTTTACCTCCACAGTAGCAACCTGACAAAAAAGCTTGACCATTTCACAAACGTGCTGTTTGAGAACTGGAATGAAAGTAACTGAGTGTATGACTAATGGAGAAGATTTGTGTATAATAGCTGCTTTTTAATATGTGTTACATAAGTAATATGGTGAGGTGGAGTTCAGTTATATAAGAACTGACTGGGGACTTGGGAGCTACTGTAAGTAGTTCATATTGGTCGCATATATGGCCTGCAGGGCATCCCTGTGTTGTGGGAGGAGGGGTAGAAAAACAGGATTGGAAGCATCTAACAGCACTACATTTTTCCTTTGTAGGTTATAGAGGATACCAGGAAAGAAAGGGAGAAGGCAGTAATTAGGAATTACTGTGGAGCTTTCAAACGTCTGTAGTCTCATTTGAGCTTAGGTTTTAGGGTGTAAACTCTGTTTTCTAAAAGAGCAGTCTCCCCTCTTGTGAGTGTCAGAAGGTGTCTGCCAGCTGAGCATTGTGCCAACTGACTGCTGTGTGGGCTATAAAGAGCAAGATTCTTGTGTCCTAGAGATTGTGAGGCTGTGCCTGTTTTTTTGTTACCAAAAAAAAAATAAGCTTACTGAAAATGGTGTTAGGACGAGGCAGTTGGTTTGTTGATCAAACATTAAAATGACTGGATTACTGATTCTTCTTGTGTAGGCATCATGTGACACAAGGTAAATACTCCTTTGTAATGGAAGCTTCCAGAGAGGCTTTCAGTGTACAGTGATTCTTTCAACAGAGCACTGATTTATGTGGGACTTGACATTGAGAATACTGTGTTGCAGATATGTTAAAGGGAGAACATTAATTTCAACTAAAGATGAGGGGGAAAAACATTTTATTAGTACTTGCATTTAGGCATGTGTTGTGTAATTATGAAACAGTAATTGCTTGTCTTGGTGTGAAGGAATTGTTTGAATGCTTATGTTATAGAATAGTTTATGTAGAAAATCAGCTAGAATTTTAATTCTTAAAGCAGCCTTTTAGGTAACTCACTTTGATAACAGATTTTGCTTGAAAACCAAGAAATGAATTACTTTAAAAGTTCACTGTGTAACTCGTAGCTTATTGCAGCAGTACTTGAACAGAGGTGTGGCTATGCTTTTATGAAGCTATTGAAATGAAGGCAAGTTTTAATGCGCTGGTTTCTTGTTTTTTTTGCAAGGTTGTTTTTATTAGCAGTTCTCAGGAAAGCAGTTATATTGAAAGAAGCAGTAGCTCTGGTAGTGTTGCAGTGCAGTCTCAAAACTGTCATATGTATTCTGAATTATTTGTGCTGGAGGAGATAAGGAAAAACAAAGTGTGTGTATTTCTTTGAGGCAGGGCATTTGTCCTACAGCTGTTCTGATGGAAGCTGTTGTAATCTCGAAGGCAAGGAAGAAAAGAGCTGTAGGAGAGGGAGACTGGGTAAAAAATGGTGTGTAGTTTACATTTATGGTAGCTTACCAGGGAAACGAGCAACTTCTACAGAGCTGCAATTTGCTCCTTAACGAGGCTACTTCAGTGGGCTGGCTGCTCTCCAGCACTTAGGCTTGTGGCTCTAACCTGCCCTGGTAGCCTGTCTGTGCACGCATGTGTGGCCTGAGCCCTTGCTAAGACCTGTTATTTAAACAGTTGTTTACCTTTAGCCATACAAAGGGACTGACAGGAGTTCAAGGGTATTTAGGGGAGAAAGGAGAGAGATACTAACAGTGTAATAGATCTGACTATGCATTAATGTCATGGTTGAGACAGTTAAAAGTGCTCATGCTGAAAGATGATCCTGCACTTTTTCAGCTGTTCATTCTTGCTTCTGCAAGTGATCATGGGGGAAGTAGAAGTGAAGAATGGATGAAACATAAGCCTAATAGTAATGGATGGTTTTCTAATGTGACTCTTCATTGTGTGGCTTGACAAACATTCCTGTTTGAATGGGAGCAGAATGAAGCACCTGCTGGGAAAATGGAGATATGCAGGTTTTAATTGTGAGTATGCTTTTTCTCAGGAAAGCTGCAGTTTTTAAGGAGTTTTGAGGGGCATCTCTTAAAGGCTTTTGGTTAGTGTAACTAGAATCACTGAGCCAGGCACTCAAAAAAAAATTCTCAACTTTGAGTTTGTAAGTCATTGCTAGATTGACCTTCAGCTGCAGGTAGCAAGAGCACTCCAGCTTCACTGAATTGGTACCTGTAAAATTAAGTAAAGTGTTATTATCAGCTACAGGCTAGTTAAGTGTTTATAGGATTTGAGATTTAAGTTTTATTTTGTTGGAACAAGCTAAAACTTGAAATAAGCCTGCTTCATCCAGAAGTGGCTGATAATCTGATAACTGGGGTATTCAGTGAAGAATTATTCCTACAGGATGAGTTCTTAGCTAATCATAAAAAGTGATTCCTGTGGGTTGCTAGTAGTCACTAGCCAAATGAATTTGCACGAGGAAAAGGAGTTCTAGTGACTGACAACTGATCACTTTATCCACCTGGGTTTGGACAGACTGTGTTCAATGCTGAAACAGCAGCAGGACAGGAACTTCCATTGGACATTGCTTTAGGCTTTGTGTTACAATGAATCTTTCTGAAAAAGTTTCTGAGATTAGTAAGGTTTTGCTTTAGCAGGAAAATAGGTTATTGGCTGGTTATACAATTCTTAACAGTTCCTCACTTAAAGAAGCAACCTTAAAGCTGTGATGTGGCCTCCTAATCCTGGAATTAGTGGGAATTTGTACCAGGTTCACTGCTGTGACCTCTGTGTAGTAAGTGGGGCACTGGTTTGTTTTCTGCTCCAGCATGACCTTGTTACTTGGAGTCTTTCTGATGAGCTACTAGTTGCTTTGGAGAGCAGTGTTAAGGTCCAAGTAGCTACTTTCAGAAGTGAGGTTATGCTCAGACATGATTATAATGCAGCACTGGCCCTGAAATGTTGTTAATAGCAGTTCTTTGATGAAAATAACCAGTGATTGAATGGCTCATAGGCAGTGTATGCAATATGGTGCTTTTTGGAAGAAAATGGGGACAATACTGCCAGTTTGGAGACTTGGACTGTGCCAGAGTTGGGAAATTACTGAACTGGAGACTCTGGCATCCCATAAGTACAGCTGAAGGTGGTCCTGTCACAGAAGGCAAGATTTTGTGTTCCTTGTAAGCTCAGAAACCAAGCAAATCTTAGCTGCTGGTTTTTTGTGCTTATTAAGTGTTGGGGAAAAGAAACTGTACCAAAACTTCTTGCTGTGACTGCTCCATCTGTGAGCTTGTTAAATGTGGCATGGTCATGCAGTAGATGTTACTCAAAAGTAGAAATGCAGCAGCTTTATTGCAGCAGTATATCTTGTCTCTTCAAAGGTTTAGCTTGTGAAGACTGCTGCAGTCGTACTCAGTGTGGTCTGTTACGACGCAAAACAGAAATACTCAACAGGCTGAGGGAGCTGGGGCTTTTCAACACAGAAAAGAGAAGGAGGGACCTTATTACAGCCTTCCTGTGTTTAAAGGTGGCTTATGAAAAAAGAGTGATTTTTTACAGGGGAAAGGTAGTGATAGGAGATGGGTTTAAACTAAAAGATGAGCGATTTAGATTGGATGTTAGGAAGGGGTGCTTAGAGGATAGTGAGGCATTGGAATAGGTTGTCCAGAGAAGTTGTGGATGTCCCTTTTCTGAAAGTGCTCAGGTGCAGATTGGATGGGGCCCTGAACAGCCTGGTCAAGTAGAGTTGTCCATGCCCATGGCAGGAGCTAGGAACTTGATGATCTTGAAAGTGCCTTCCAACCCAAACCGTTCTATGGTGTCTGACCGTTGAAAGGTGCACTAAGAATACCTTCTTGATGCTAAGTATCACTGGTTATAGTAATAGATTTGTTTCCAGCAAGCTTCAGTAGATTGGTAAATAGTGAATAATTTATTTTGGTATTTCTGTTTAGTATTTTATTGACAAAGCTAGTATCTTTTCTGTCCAGTTGGCTGTCATATATGGATTTTTTGATAACTGTTTGATCCATTACTAATACAGCTGCTATAGACGAACCAAATACAAGTCCAAAACTAGCTTGTGTGGCAGATTTGAGGTGTTAGAACTAGTGTGGAGGGCACAAGAACTTAAGCTGAAGAGGTAGCTGGGAAACAAGCATTAGCATCCAGTTCTTGTGCTAAACTCCCTCCTTCCACCTTCCTGCCTTTACTTAGCAGGTTAGTCATGACACGGGACTGTCATGATTCCCTGAATTTTAGTGAAGTAAGGTAAAAAAATTTGGAGGTACAGAACTGTGCCACTTTTTTAATAATCCCTCAAAGAGACTGTGGCTGGTTGTGATATTGAGATAGTAATTTAATCTCTAGCCTAAGAAGTGCTTTACCAGCTTTATTCCCTGGTGTGCGCTAAGCAGTGGTTGTGCCGCTTCATTTTGGCCCACTGTGTTTGTGGCCCGTTTGTCAGGCTGTGCAGTATGGTCTTTTCTGTTGAGCCAGGGTAAGCTGGCTGTCTCAAATTCCATCTAGAACAACTATGGGTCTTCTAATTAGACATGTATTAAATAGTACTGAATGTCATTGTCACAAATATCCTGGTTTAGAAGACTACTCTTCATAAAACAAAACTATTGCTTTTATCAGAGTGGTGCTA